AAAATATATATATATATGTGTGTGTGTGTGTGTATATATATATATGTGTGTGTGTGTATATATATATATATATGTGTGTGTGTGTGTGTGTATTTATGCTTAGATCATTGAAAATAATTACGGACACTGGAGACTGTGTGGAAGGAGGGTGGGAGAGGGGAAGAGTATAGGGAAGGAAATTAGGGAGAAAAAATAGAGAAGTAAGACATTTGTGAGACACAGAAATGATTTATTACCTGTTGATGCTGATGTATATAGTATTCTAGACTGAACTGATCTGGGGTGTATTTCATATTAGGTAAATTCTCTTTATAAGCTAAATGATGTATAGCAATGAAATGTATAAAATAATAATAATAATAGTAAGGTTATGTCTCTTCTATTACATCTTTCTGATTGGCCAGGCTATTTACTACACTATCTCCTCTCAACTACCAAACATCTTAAAAGAGCGAACTAGGGAACCAGCAGTTAGCATAATGGCTATGTCGCTGGACTCCCACGTAGTCGACCACGGTTCACGTCCCAGACCCAGTGGCTTAAAACTCATGCCGGGTGCGTGTGCGTGCGTGCCCAAGATCCCAAGAGGAGAATGGAGGAGAAGGGATTGTGGCGTGGCCATCCCCTCTGGGGGGTGATTTCTTGCTTTCTGTCTTTCTGTCACTCTCTGGTGAGCGCATGCACCCTATAGTGAAAACCTCTCTAAAAAAAAAAAAGAGCGAACTAGAACCATTGTTTTTGTTTCTTTACTCACTTATTCCATGATCTTGTGTAACTACAGTTCTGTCTCCACACTCTACTAAAAGAAACCATAGGTTTTCAATTACTTCCTAATTTTCAGACTACTCCACACCCATCTGCTTTTCCCCTTTCTCAGACTTCTACCTTCTCAGTCTTTTTTTCTTTTCCTTTTTCTTTTAGAGATTTTTGCTATAGGGCTCGTGTGCTCACTGGAGAGACAGAGAAAGTGAGAAATCACCCCCTAAGGGCAATGGCCAAGAGGCAGTTCCTTCTCCTCCTTTATCCTCTTGGGGTTTTGAGCACACACGCACATGTGTCCAGCATGAGTTTCAAGCCTCCAGGCCTGGGACTTGAATGTGGTCAGGCATATGGGAGTCCAGTGCCTTGACCACTGTGCCTCCTCTTGGCTCTCCTCTCAGCTTTTCTTCAGCACTTGATGCTCTCCTTTCTGTCCTCTTTCCTGAAACCTGTCTTCCTTTGCTTCTGTTGCTGTTGCATACTTCTCATTCTTCCCCTGAATTTTGCCAGTTCTTATGGTTCCTTACCCCTTCACTTTGTTTCTCTTTTTACCGTATTTTCTGTTTCCCCACCCCCTCAACAGTCTTACCTTCTAAGGCTCATGTCCATGAGAGTAATTCTCAGGTATTGCTTGAGCTGCAGATCTGTATATCCAGTTACCTGCTAGATATCTTCATATATCTCTATATGTCAGTCAACATATACATACTAATTCAACATAAACCTAAATATTCTTCTCTTTTTCTTATTTGCAAGCAGTCTTTCTTCCTGGCTTTATTACAGGAGTCCATAATGTTTGGAAATGTGGACAAATATACATTAAGTAGCTTATTGCTATGGTATTGTAATGTCCACTATGTTGTTCAGCAGTAGCAATGATAGTATAAAATTGCAATGAATGTGGCACAATAAGATGCTTTTCCATCAACTTCTTGTGTATCTGAGATGTGTTCCTTCAAAGTATATGCTACTTTTACTTAGTAAAAGTGTCTTACATTACTCTGGCGAAGTTATCTAGACGGGTAGATCTAGTTCACATACACACACACACACACACACACACACACACACACACACACATAAATAGATTTATGGCCACCCTAAATTTCTGTTATTTGTATAATGTTCTTATTGGTACCCAGGTTAAAAAAAAAATTCTGTGGTCTCCCTTAATCCCTGAATTCGGCCAAGTCTTTTAAAATACTAATTTAAAAAAATTTTATACATTTAAATCACTGTACATCACTTTGCGTGTAAGTTGAATTTACCCAACATGGATACATTTCACACCAGTCCAGCTGAGGATAGAAAACACATTATCATCATCAGATAATAACTCAATTTTAAAAGTATTATTTTATTTAAGTTTTTTTTTTTTGAGAGGTTTTTTGCTATAGGGTATGTGTGCTCGCCAGAAAGACTGAGAGAGACAGAGAGACAGAAAGCAAGAAATTGCTCCCCAGTGGGGATGGCCACTCCACAATCTCTTCTCCTCCATTCTCCTCTTGGGATTTTGGGCAGGCATACACACGCACCCAGCTGAGTTTAAGCCACCGGGTCTGGGACTTTAATTGTGGTCGACTACATGGGAGTCCAGCAACATAACCGTTATGCTAACTGGTGGTCCCTTAAATTTATTTATTTACTCATTTTTTTAAAGAATTATTTAACTTTATTTATTTGTTTATTTTAATTTGACCAGAGAGGGGCAGAGGGAGAGAGAAAGAGAAAGCAAGCCTTCAGGTCTGGGATTTGAACTGTGGTCGGCCATGTAGGAGTCTAGTGCCCTTAACTACTGTGCCACCTGCTGACCCCTGTTTACTCATTTTTAACTTGACCAGAGAGGGACAGAATGAGCGAGGAAGAGAGAGAGAGAGAGAAGGCAAGGAAGCAAGGCACCAGGTCTGTGGCTTGAACTCTGATCAGCTATGTGGGAGTCCAGTGCTCTTAACCACCACGACACATGCTGGCCTCTCCCATTTCTGTATCCCATAAATGTCTGGCCTCTCTGGTTTCCTCCTTAATTTCTTTCCTTACACTCTCCCCCTTTCCTACCCTTTTTCTACATTGTCTCCAGAGTCTATAACCATTTTTAATGTTTCTGTGCTTTTTTTTTGGAGAGGTTTTCGCTATAGGGCGCGTGCGCTCGCCAGATAGACAGAAACAGAGAGACAGAAAGCGAGAAATCACCCCCCAGGGGGATGGCCACGCCACAATCCCTTCTCCTCTAGTCTCCTCTCGGAATCTTGGGCACGCACGCACACGCGCCCAGCGTGAGTTTTAAGCCACCGGGTCCGGGACGCGAACCGCGGTCGACTACGTGGGAGTCCAGCGACATAGCCATTACGCTAACTGCTGGTCCCAATGTTTCTGTGTTTTCTAATCTCTCAGTTTCCACCATAGAGTGTGGACAATTGGTATATGTTAAGTGGAGACATACAGTGTCTTTTTTTTTTTCTTTCTTTCTTTCTTTTTTTTTTTTTAAGAATTATTTAACTTTATTTAGTCACATATTTATTTTTAAATTTTACCAGAGAGGGACAGAGAGAGAGAGAGAGAGAGAAAAGTTAAGCCGCCTGGTCGAGGACTCGAACCATGGTTGGCCATGTAGGAGTCTAGCGTTCTTAACCACCATGCCACCTGCTGTTCCCAATGTCTCTTTCATAGCCTGACTTGCTTCACTCAGCAGTAAATCTTCCATATTTGTCTGTGTTCTGTCAAATGCCAGGGTCTTGTTGTTTTCATGGCTGAATAGTATTCCATAGAGTATACGTACCACACTTTTTAAATCCATTTATCTGTTCATGGACATTTATAAAATATTCCTTGTATGCGATTTTTATTTGTTTTGTTTGTTTGTTTCCTTTTCATTCTATTGCCCTTACATGTCTAATTCAAGTTCTCAGGATTCCGCATCCAAAGAATTCAGCAGCTTCCTAACCGATCTTCTTGGTTCCTCTTTCTTTTGTTTCAGTATGTTTTAGGATGTAGTTCTGAGTGTGTCACTTCCTAAGTTAAAAACCTCCAGTGCTTCACCATTGCTTCTAATGTATGGTTAAAAAATCTATTCTGGATGATTTGGATTGCTCTTTGCAGCCTTTTATAGTCATTGCTGCTGGATCATTATGAAGTGCTCAGAGGCTGAGTATGCCTGTTTATCTTCGTAGTCTAGGTGTCCTCTATCTATTCAGTGCCATGTGTATAGAAGTTTTGTAATAGTATTTTCTCTCAAATTTTATTTATTTCTTCCATGAGAAATAAAGACAGAGAGATAGGTACTCCCCAAAGGGTCTTCACATCCCTGTTCTACCCGCAGGCTTAGCCATCCTGGATCATGGGCACTTGCGTGGAAATCCAGGGCCTTCCCACGTGGTCAGTCATTAGAGCATTGCGTTGCCACTGTGCCACTTCCTGGTCCTCAGACACTGTTCTGAAACTGACTTTAGCCTGTTAGGAAAGGTCCCTGGAAAAGATAGATTGGAAATACTGTTTGCTTTAGAAAAGAAAAATATCAGTCTAGCCTGTGGCCTGGTGGTTAAGGTACAGATCCCACCTGGCCAACTGTGTGATTTGAATCCTTGAACACAGACTTAAAAAACACCCAGCACCCTGTCTGTGTGAGAATAGAGGAGAAGGACTATGGTGTGGCCATCCCCCCAGGGGTGCTTTCTTACTTTCCAGCTCTCTCTTTCTCTGTCTCTCTCTGATGAGTACACACACCCTTTAGCAAAGTGGGGGAAAAAAGAAAAGAAAAGGAAAGGAAAATATCTTTCCTAGTTTTGATGCTTTTCTGGGAATATTCTGAACATAAATAGAGGAGAAACACTTGCCAGTACTTCCCAGAAAGCTAGAACATTGTGAGCACAATTGGCATTCTGTTTTTCTCATTTACTAGTAAAGGACTAGCTGTATTTTATGTAATTCTTATCTCCTCAGGTCAAGACAAAACTTAAGCCCAGTTCTTCAGAAAACACGGTGAGTGAAAAGCAGGAAGATACTACTTTGATGAAATCTCATAATGAAGACATCCCTGTTTTCTCGAATTCTCATCTTCCTCAACCCAGTAGGCATCAAGAAATCTGGTCCGTCCTAGAAAATCTTTGGTTTACAATATATCAGAACAGGTAAATTTAAATTTCCAAATTCTTTAAAATTCTAGAGTTACAAATTTGCTTATTTATTTAGTAAAAATTTGTATAGGGGTTTGCTATTTATTCAATACTTAGTATTTGGGTTGTGGGGTGATGTTTATATGGGGATGCACATCAGAGTTACCTTAAAAAAATTAAAAAATATATTTGCCTAAGTTCTATCCCTAGAAGTTCTGTTCAGTTAGCAGGACTGAAATAAAACTGAAAGAGTGCTTTAAAAAAGTCTTTCCCGATGTTTCAATGTGAGACCACAATCAGAAGCATTGATGCCATGTATGTAAAAGCCAATGAAAATTCACCTAAATTGACTATATTGGCAGGATACAAAGTCTTAATAAAATTGAAAATAATTTCAGGAAATATGAGTCTTTATTAAGGAAAGTTAATATAAGGTTTTTTTAAAATGAAAAGATAAATATTTTGGTTGAAAGAGAAGAAATACTTTTTAAAATTTTTTTAGAATTACTTTATTTTTTGAGACCAGCAGTTAGCGTAATGGCTATGTCGCTAAACTCCCATTTAGTCGACCGTGGTTTGAGTCCCGGACTAGTTGGCTTAAGCTCACGCTGGGCACATGTGCCTGTGTGCCTAAGATCCTGAGAGGAGAATGGAGGAGAAGGGATTGCGGGGTGGCCATTCCCCCTGGGGGTGATTTTTCGCCTTTTGTCTCTCTCTTTCTGGCGAGCACACGTGCCCTATAGCAAAAACCTCTCCAAGAAAAAAGAGAAAAAAAAGAATTTATTTTTTAATTTGATGAGAGTTGGGGGGCTGTGGGGGGAGACAGAAGATAGAGGGAAATTAAGAAAGCAAGCCTCCATGTCTGGGACTTGAAACGTGGTTGGACATGTGGGAGTCTAGCACCCTTAACCATGACGCCACCTGTGGTCCCCAAAATACTCTATTACTTTAGTATACATAAACATACAGTGCTTATGGTCTTGGTAAAATGAAGAGCCGGAGACCATTCATGAATAGTTCTTAAATAGGCTACTGCTAGAATAGCTTAAAAAATAATTTAAAACCACTCATTTTAAAGGAGGTGAACATAGCCTTCTACTTTTTCCCAAACCCATGTTCTTTATATAATTAATTCAGCAAACCTATGCTTTATAATATGATTTTGGTTCAAGGGTCCAGTATGACTGTCATCTTAGATTAAGATCATCTGTTTGTTCTAGCTGTTCATAAGAGCAGTAGACTAATAATAATTAGCACAACTTAAACTTACATTCTTTTTTTTGAGAGGTTTTTGCTATAGGGCGCATGCACTCACCAGAAAGACAGAGAGAGACAGAGAGACAGAAAGCAAGAAATCACCCCCCTGACCCCCCAGGGGGGGGAGGATGGCCATGCCATAGTCCCTTCTCCTCCATTCTCCTCTGAGTATCTCGGGTATGCACGCATATGTGCTTGGCATGAGTTTTAAGTCACTGGGTCTGGGACTCAAACTGCAGTCAACTACATGGGACTCCAGCAGCATAGCCATTACAACAACTGCTTCTATTTTTTTTTTTTTAAGAGATTTTTGCCTTAGGGGTTGTGCACTTGTTGGACAGAGAGACAGTCAGAAACAGTAAGAAGGAAAGTGAGAAATCACCCCCCAGGGGAGATGGCCATGCTATGATCCCTTCTGTTCTGTCTTCCTGGGATTTGGGGCACACAAGCACACATGCCCGGTGTGATTTTCAAGCCACCGGCTTCAGGACTGCAGTCGACCATGTCGTAGCCAAGTGGCATAACCATATGCCATCTGCTGACCCCTAAAAGCTCAGCTAAGCTATTTTAATTTCCTTTCACTTAGAAAACATTTGAATACTTTATAAAGCTTAGAGTTGATTTATATATACATTTATGTTGGGTACCAGAGAGTTGTGCATAGTTTCTGGATAATGGACTTTATATAATAGCATTTCACTGAGTGAAGCATTTTTACATTGCCTTATCAATATATATTCACTTAAGCCTACTTTGTTGTTTCTGAAGCCTGGCCGATTGTGTTCTGTCAATATCGAACTTCTTTTGTTTTTTTTTTTTCGGAGAGGTTTTTTTTTTTTTTTGCTATAGGGCGTGTGCGCTCACCAGTCAGAGAGAGACAGAGAGGTAGAAAGCGAGAAATCACCCGCCAGTGGAGGATGGCCACGCCGCAGTCCCTTGTCCTCCATTCTCCTCTCGGGATCTTGGGCATGCACGCACATGCGCCTGGCATGAGTTTAAGCTGCTGGGTCTGGGACTCGAACCGCGGTCGACTACATGGGAGTCCAGCAACATAGCCAGTACGCTAACTGCTGGTCCCAGTATCGAACTTCTTAACGTATCAATGTGGGCCTTTCTGTAGATGTGCCCGGTTGGCAGCCTGGTAAGCTGTGCACAGTTACTGTTGTAAGACTGCTCACATGTTTGTGCACACTGTACGTGCCATCTTCCCTGTCGTTTGATAACTAGTTGTGAACTTACAGTACACCAGGGCAGGTTGTTGGTTGTTGGTGTCTTTTCTATTTACAAGGAATTTGAATAAGTGTTAGATATTATTAATAATTCAAATTTTTAAAAATGTCGTATTTCTCATTCAAGCATCTGAGACTTTTAAAAAATTATGTATTTTTAGCTTGCAGTGGGAACTAGATATTTAAACAAAATATCTTAATATCTTTCATTATTACTTTTCTCTGTGACTCAGAATTTTATTAATACTATGAAGGCAAAACCAATAAAAATTTTTTTGACATCTGTTGATATCTGATGGATAATTTTCTATAAATAGGCTACTTAATAACAATTCAATAACTTATTTAATAATATAAAATGTAATGAGTCCAATAATAAAGTGGAACTATCATCCATAACATTAGCTTGCAATGTTTATTCTAAATCACCTCATTCCTTTTTTATGCTATTATTATTTTAAAGCTATTTATTTAGTTTTTCCATGAGAGAGTGTATGCCAGAGAGAAGAAGAGACAAACACTACAGCAGAATCTTCCCGGGGTGGCCCATGCCCAGTCCTAGTCAGCCCGGATCATACCCATGCATGTGCATGCACGTGTATACAGGGGGGTATTGGGGTGCAAACCAGAACCGACCCAGGTGGGTCAAGTTGCATTACCACTGTGGCACTGCCTGACTCGTACTCACTGTTCTTAATGGATGACTTTATAAAGAGTAAATGGCACTTACAGAAAATCATTAATGGGCCGGCAGGTGGTGTGATGGCGAAGGGCACTGAACTCCCACGTGGTCGACCATGGCTCGAGTCCTGGATCTGGCAGCTTGCTTTCTCATTTTCCTGCTCTCTTTCTCTCTCTTTGCTCTCGCTCTCACTCTTGCTCTGTCCCTCTCTGGTCAAATTTAAATAAATAAATAGTTAAAATTAAAAAATAATTCTTTAATAAAAATCATATTAATATTGACTTGATCTTCTTTTGCATAATGTCATTCTGTTTTGTAAAAAAAATTGTTTAAACACAAAGATATTTTGTTCCTTAAAATATGCAGCCATGATAGGGCCAGCAGATGGTGTAATGGTTAATGTCACTTGACTCCCATGTAGTCAATTGTGGTTGGAGTCCCGGACCTAGTGGCTTAAAACTCATGCTGGGGGTGCATGCGTGTGTGCCCAAAATCCTAAGAGAACAGAGGAGAAGGGATTGCAGTGTGGCCATCCTTCTCGGGTGGGGGGAGGTGATTTCTCACATTCTGACTCCAGCGAGTGCACATGCCTTATAGCAAAAATGTTTCTTCAAAAAAAAAAAAAAAAAGAAAAAAATGGCAGCCATAGTTCTGTGGGACAGTAACTGGGGAAACTATCTAGACTTTCTGAAATTTTTTATCTAAAATCAGAAAATAGGATTAGATTATTTCTTTATTATTTTTTAAATTTTTTGCTATAGGGCATATGTGCTCTGTGGAGAGCAACAGACAAAGAGAGAAATCAGCCTCTCAAGGGGTAGGGTGGCCTGCCAAAATACCTTCTTCATTTTCCTCTTGGGAATTTGGGCCTGCAAGTGCATGCATCTGGTGTGTGTTTCAAGCCATCCGGTCCAGCACTCGAACTGCACAGTCAGCTGTGTGGGATCCAGCTGCCTTAACCTCCATACTACCTGCTGGCCTAGGATTAGATGATTTTTTAAAAAAATTATTTGTTTAATTTTACTCATTCATTCATTTTATTTTGATTTGACCAGAGAGAGACAGAGAGAGAAAGAGAAGGAAAGTGAGAAAGCAAGCCACCAGGTCCAGGACTCAAACCGTGATCAGCCATGTGGGAGTGTCCAGCACCTTAACCACCACACCACCTGCTGGTCCTGGATTAGATGATTTTTAAGATCTCTAGGTAATCTAAAATTCTATAGTTGTGGAATGTTGACAATTTTCTTTTAAATAGTGTATTAAGCACGTGTGTGGATTTTTACTATAGATTCTAGGTAACCTTTAGTGATTTTTAAAAATTATTTTTATTTAATTTTATTTATTCATTTATTTTTTAATTTGACCAGAGATAAACACACACACACACACACACACACACACACGCGCACACACGCACACACACACAGAGTGAGAGAGAGAGAGAGAGAGAAAGAGAAACCAAATCACCAGGTCTGGCACTCAAACCATGATCAGCCATGTGGGAGTTTCTAACACCCTAACCACCAAGCCACCTGCTGGTCCCCAGACTTTCGACAGTTTTTAAATACAACATTTGCTTGTTTTGTTTGTTTGTTTGTTTGTTTGTTTTTGTTTTTGCTATAGGGCATGTTTGCTTGTGGAGAGAGAGAGAAAGTGAGAAATCAGTCTGCAGAGGGATGGCCATGCCTCAGTCCCTTGTCCTCCATTCTCCTCCCAGCATTTTGGGCATGCACCCACATGTGCCCCATGTGATTTTTGAAGCTGCTGAGTCTGGACTCAAAATGCACAGCTGGCATGTGGAATCCAGTGCCTTAACCACCACACCACCTGCTAGCACAATACAATAT